AAGAAAAGAAATCCCCAGAAAACCTAGAAAAGTATCTAGCATTATGTCTAGAGGAGAAAAGGACCTACACCCTCTCCTAAATGATTAAGCATCTACACTGCAATATTTTCAACAACATGTGCTACAGATCCTCCACTCCATTTCATGACCCGATCCTGTTCCGAGGATTCATACAAAGAGAACGCCATGGCTGTAAAAGTTGGCACCTCCTTACCACCCAATGCTGGAATTTGGCCTTGGATCCAGCTGACAATACCAGCCCGAGTAATCAAAGTTGTGCTACCTTGGACTTGTGTCGAGCGATACAGTAGGTGCAAAATCTTCCGCTTGGATGGAAGGCTAGGGCCAGGTGATTCATAGAACGAAAGTGCTCGTTCAAACACATTCGCGCGGCGGTAGATTCCCATATCCTATAAGCTCGTTAATAATGGTTCATATGGTTGACGGCATGGTGGCTTACAGTCTCTGTGCGAAGGCCTTTAATAAGTAGATCAAGGAGCCAGTTCGTCTCTTCGAAGTAGCCATCATCCAGTTCAGGTTCGTGCAGCAGGATCTTGTCAATCCAATACGATGGAATCTTCTCTGGTTCCCAGGAAGGTGCCTTCTGGAGGAACTTGTTGACTTTTCCATAGAGTTTGTGCATTGGATTGACGAGAACCGCGAGGCAATTGGAAGCACACTCCCCCACAATCCAGGGTATGGGCGAATCCAGACCAATCTGCTTCACCGTCTCTAGGAGTTCACCAGTGAGAAGGAACACCGACCTCCACTCGACATATTTAGATTCCTGGTATTGTGAGTCATGTATATTCTCCACTTAGAGATCATAGGGAAAGCATCAACTTACTCGAATCTTGGACATAAATCGCGTTATGTTAGCAAATGCTTGTCTTCTGACTTCTTCATGTTCTGAGCACAGGCAGAGCATCAGATCTGCCACCCTGCCTTGCTCAACGGAGATCTCGATGTCATCCTTCTCCCATCTATGCAATGCATTGTGGGTTGTGCCTTCCGTGGGCAATGTGCCGAATATCTCCTCCAAGTCCACGGTTGGCTTCTCATTGCTTGAACGTGAGGTTGTCGGTTGTGTTGTACTAGACTCTCGTCTCTTGCTATCCTGACTTGGCCCCTCTTCCGTATCTTTTAATGCCTTCTTTAGAGTCGACTTGGTGCGCTTATTCTCAGTGGCTGCTACCAAAGTATCCCGGGCAGCCTTTAATGCTTTCGAGTCTTCCCCGGACCCTTTCAAGTTCCCAAGAGTTTTAGCAATCCATGCACCAACAGCGCTTTCTGCATCGCCTCCGGACTTAACAATAAATGGCCACTGCTCCGAAATAGCAGATACGATAGGGCTGATTGGTTTTGATACATCCTCACACAGCGACCCAAGCAAGTCCTGGTAGTGAACCGGTTTTTTCGCTACCCGACAAACACAGTTATCGAAAAAGGATAATTGATGGTAGAGGCTTTCAGAGTCGAACGACCCAAAGCTGGATAAGAGTGACAGAAAGGAGCTCGGGCCTTGCAAGATCGAATTCTCGGTAAGCACAGCCTTCAACAGGACCTCAATGTCTCCGAGAGAATCACGAGATGATGCCCCTACTACAACCTTGAGAATCGACGTGAATGCAGAGAATTGCATAGACCCTATAGCCATATTAGCAGAACGCTCAGAGCGATATTTTACGAAGTACTTACCAGGCTTTTGCCACCAACGCATCGATGCGGATTGCTGTGCGATTTTGAGAATGCTACCCAGCTGAGCAAGCAACGATTCTGAGTCTTCCTCGCTAGGATTTGACTCGTCCAGGCGTTTCAAGATATCAACCAAAACGAGAGAAACATCGAAAGTTTCTTCGAATGCCACATCAGGCACGATTTCATAGAAACACGAGAGCAGTTCGGCCACAGCTTCTTGTTGCTGCAAATCCTCCTTGGTAGTTTTCTTATATAGTGATACAACATCTTTCATTGCAGGACACCGACGACAGAACTCCGCGATTAATTTGCCTTTGGCCTGAGTCCAAAATGATTGACTGACACCATGATCTGAATTAAAAAGACGAAGGACCTTTCGCAGCTTGTTAAAAGAGATTGTCAAAATCCGAACCGCAAACAGAGTAATTATCTCCGCATTCAAATTCAGGCAGCGGGTTAGGGTTTTCTGGCTAAGCGGGCGAGGTAGGATGTTCTCGACCACCACTGATACGGGAGGCGGCATAGAAGGCAATTTATCCTTCCAACCAAAGTTCGTTGGAACAGGCAAACTTATTGTGGAGAAAAGAAGTGCAGACTCTGCCATCCATGATGATGTAGGTTTCGGGTCGGAAACAAACATTGTTTTCTTTGTGAAGAAATCGGCAACAAGCTCCGGTGCCTCTTTAAAAATGGTTACCAGAAGCTCAATCTGCAGGCTGTCTGCGTCTGGGCGAAGAGCCTGAGCGAGGTATGATAATATCCCGTTGCGAACAGGCACAGACTCCCGGTATTTGTCGACGTATACTGCGGAATCAAGTCCCAAGTCGATCGATGTGTCTTCCTCGCCCGGCAAGGACTCCGGGTCACTTCCGTTAGGGTACCAGCTCGTCTCCGAAAGTAAGACACCATGACTAGAGTTAGTGCAGACATTCATCAGGATCTTATGTATCTCACTGGCAATAGATACGCCGGTGGGATTCGGCTCCTCAGACTCTCTGTCGTAGCCGTAGAGCGTCACAAGCTTCTCCAAGTTCCCTCGGTTGAAAAACTTCGTCTTCGCGTTCCTGGAGAGGGAAGCATCTTGCATAATATCCCTCTCAATGGCCTTGATGATATCCAAAACAGTATCTCGGGAATCTTTTCTTACATACTCCAAGAATGCTCTGATGACCTTGTGCTGTTCGATAATATCGCTCTTCGCACTAGCATGCTGAAATCTCAAGTTTGCCAGAACATATCGTTGAGCATTCCGTCGGAGAGTCGACTTCTGACTGTCATCTGAAGCCTCCTCTAATTGAGATTTGTTCGGAGTTAAAAATACTTCTATTCGTTTAAAAGTGATATACCGCACGGCGTAGACATGCCGTGCAACAGCACCTCCGTCGAAGCTGACAATTTCAGTAAGGAGACGAAGACAGGGTGAGATCAAATGCTCCTTGGATTTCGTTGCTGTCAAGCCGCGGTTGAAGAACCTGAGTTGTTCCTTTTTCAGCAAAAACTTGCATAGAGCCAATCCAAAGTCCCGGAACTCCAGGTTAGTAGATACCGTCTTAATAAAAAGAGCCAAAACGGACGGGACCACAGTCAGCAAGGACTCATTATTGTTACTATCTGCAAAATTCCAAGTTTGAATTAGATCTGGAAAGCAAGAAGGCTCCTCTTCATGCGAGATCTGCGAATCGCAATAGGCTTTGAGGATACGGAATTTCTTGGCTTTTTCGCCCTCGTTCTCAACTTGCCCAGTCGCGAGAAGAAACTCTTTGAACTTCTTGATGCCTAGTGTTACTATATGAGTATGGCTCTACACAGAACATACAAAATGGTAATAGCGTACTGACCTTGTTTGACCTCGTGGACATTCTGTTGGAAGGTTAAAAGATTGCGTAGTTGCCCGTGAGACGTTATCTCTGTTGAGGCTTCATTTTCCTGCGCAGAATCCACCTTCCTCCGCTTATTCCTGTGAATCTGATCATCATGAGGAGACATTTTTGCGCGTGAGCAATCTCCTGATTAAATTTGGAGACTCGAAACGCAGAAATGATGGGATTGAAGTTGTGTAAAGCTCAGTTCCCGTCAAAATTTTGCGGTATCTGATTGGCTGCCAGCGGCCCCAGTCACGGATGGAGCGAAGAAACTTAAAGGAAGTCAGGACAGTTACTAGTACCAATGCGGATTGGCGGCTGTACTCCAATGGACTTAGCGATGAATACGACGGGATCCTTTGCTGGCAGTTTGAACAACAAATAAAACTACAAGGGCCCTGCAAGAACAAAAGCTCATAGACTCTATTAACTGGATAATGAGCTGTTTGTACGGCGTATCCCTTCCCACAATAATAGTCATCACGAGAAACCCTTCATAAATGATGCGCGGGCCAGAGATGGATGTGTATTCTCCGGAGTCCGTAACGGTTGTGCTCATCTAGACGACTGGGTTGGCTGAGAAGCACCCCATATTTTACCGCTTGAGAAGGAAAGCTATTTGGTTACGAATAATTTCAGCCGATGGATCACTATGAAGGCAGACTGAGGAAACCATTTTGCATCCATCAAATCTATTCAAAACGGGATTCTTTTACAGGCCAGCATCCATCAACTAGTTATTCAACATAGCTACTTGATTTCAGTCAACCCAGATGTAAGTGATTTTCTCTACCACGTTAATGTATACCGGATGCTTTACTGATTTATTGAAACCACAAATATAAGATCACTTATTTTATTCTTTATTCTTGGGGAGCGGATGGAAGAACTCTTGACCCTGTGTCTTGAAATCTCACCGACGCGAGCCGCATCTCAGATAATCTCCTGCACTAGCACTTGAGACAGAGCGTTCTTGGCATTATGAAGGGCGCCGGGGAGCCTTCTTTTGAACACGACTTACCACCGGGATCCGATATGTTAAAGACGATCCCGGAGGGACCTTTTCCAATTGAACAGTTCGAAATGGAAATTTCGCCCAGTAATGTGGATGGTGCCCTGTTGGGTAAAAGTGCGGCCAACGATTTTTTAGGAGCTTTAGCTCTACCAGACTCTTGCAGGAAGGTTTCGCAAATCCTAAAGTTAGAGCTCACAACTACATTCACATACTATAAAATTACAGAAAAGGGTTCAACACGTCTGTATCGTGCTTTATACTCTCTGAATACAAAGTTAAGCACCCTAGTGTGCTCTTAATGCCAAGCGCAGCGAGGGAGCAATCAACAAAAAACACTTCAATCGGGGTATTGCTGTAGGAGGGCACGTGTTGTAGTTACCCAGACAATGGGGACATGACATGATGAGATTAGAAGTTGTACAAGGCTAACCCCAAGTTCCTCCACCGCCCCCTCTACCTTGACGTCTCTGTGCAGATAGACGCCAATCATCCTCGCCCGCAAAGCGATTGTGTAGGGGTTGGATACGCTCAGCCTTCTTACGCTTCGACAAGCGGTCAGTGGGAGCGACCTTGAAAAAGGTCGGGGCTGCCTCGACCAGCCATTTGGGCTCAATAGCGTGGTGCAATGCATGTATTCCTTCGTCGTAAGGACCAATGTGTGATAAATGACGTGTTCAGCAGGCTTGCCAAACAATGCAGAACTAGGGTGCATGTAGACGGGTGTACCCTCAACAAGTGTCTTGTATCCTTCCTGGGGGTCCTTACGCGCTGCATTTCTGAAGAACCCAGTGCATAGTGCTTGACGTACTTTGGTTGTGTTCCTTCCACATGAGACGATGCGGTGATGGTACCGGTCCATGATACCAAGAAGCTGCTGGCGAACGTCTTGAGCACGGCGGATCTGACGCGCCTGGATGAAGTTCTCGAAACACCAAGCATTGTTAAACTTCGAATTCTTCCAGCCGTTGTATACATTGAGTAGGGTCAAGTGATCGCCTTGTGGATCGTGGAACTTGGCTTTCTTTTGATCTGCCTGCTGCTGCTTTTCTTTAGGTCTATAAAAGACCGACTGGATAGAGAGCATGGCAACGATGCTGAGAATTTCCTCGGAACACCCCATGTCGACTGATGCAATGAGGACCTTGGCAAGTGCTGGTTCCATAGGGAAGTCTGCCATCTTCCTACCCAAACGAGTCAAAAGGCCTTCATCATCGAGTGCAGACAAAGCATAAAGCTCCTCTAGAGCAGTAAGCATGGTGTTTGTCGGAGGAGGATCCATAAAGTCGAAATGAAGCAAATCGTTAATACCCATAGCTTTAAGCATGAGAATAGTATGTGAAAGGTTTTGACGCTGGATCTCGGGAATTGTGGTTGGCAACATTTCCGATTGGTAGGCTGCTTCAGTATACAAACGGAAACACTTTCCTGGGCCTGTTCTTCCAGCACGACCGGCTCGTTGCTTGGCCTGCGCTTGCGAGATAGGGGTAACCACCAAGGAGTCCATACCAAGTTTTGGATCGTAAGCGTTTTGCTTCACGAAACCAGGATCAATGACATAGTAGATGTTGTCAATGGTAATGGATGTTTCGGCAATATTGGTTGCAATAATAACCTTCCTACCTCCTGGTGGCGCAGGTTCAAAAATCCTACTCTGCATCTCACTAGGAAGAGCAGAGTAGACAGGAAGGATGACAAGCTCTGGTACAGAAGGACCCAACGCTTTCATTCGCTCGTACAAAATCTCACATGAGGTATCAATCTCTTCTTGTCCCGTCAGGAAAACAAGAATATCGCCAGAAGGCTCCGTTAAATGAATCTGCATGACAGTTATTAGAGCCGCATCCAGGTAGTCAGACTCGGGCTCCTTTGAATACATAATCTCGACTGGGAATGTACGTCCAGGAATCGAGAAAATGGGGCAACCGTTGAAATATTCGGAGAACTTCTCTGCATCCAATGTAGCTGATGTAACAATAAGTCGAAGATCAGGCCTCCGCTTTATTGTCTTTTTTAGCAAACCGAATAGGACGTCTGTAGCAATTGTCCGCTCGTGAGCCTCATCAAGCATGATGACAGAGTACTTCTTCAAGTCTGGGTCTAAGAGGACCTCTCTTTGAAGCATTCCGTCAGTCATGTATTTGATTCGTGTCTCCGGGCTGGTGCAGTCTTCAAAACGAATCGTGTATCCAACCTCTGCACCGAGCTTGCAGCCAACTTCTTCAGCTACACGCTTGGCGACTGACATCGCGGCAACACGTCTCGGTTGGGTACACCCGATAATGCCATTATTTCCATAGCCGGCCTCAGCTAAGTATTGTGTCAACTGTGTGGTCTTTCCGGATCCAGTATCTCCAACAACAATTAACAACTGGTTGTCACGAACAGCATCAAGAAGTTGCTTTCGGAACTTGAAAACCGGCAGACTTTCGCGTTGTTGCTTAATCGACATCGATGTTCGCTTGCCGAGAGATTGATTCTTGCCCATTGTAACTCTTTTCCATTCAGGCACAGCGTCATCGGCTTTAGGTTGTTGGGCCGTTCGAAGATCAGCCGCAAATTTCCGGTCTTCTGGCGCGGCCATAGGATCTTGCCATTGTGCATTAAGATCAACCTCTGCAGCTTGCTCCGCAGCCTTATCCTGGGCCTCTTGTTGACGAAGATCTCTTCGTTCTTTAGCCAAGTTTGTACCCGCCATAGCTGCTCGGTTCATAGAGCCATCGGGAGCCTTAACAACTCTGATAGGAGATAACTCCAGGGACATCTTAGTTTGACCAGCCAAAAAGGGCGGCTCTTCATCTCGGACTTCGATATCGATATCTTCTTCCTCCTCAAAGGTGCCCTCGCCTGTCAGTGTTGCGTGGTATTCCTCGTCGAGATCGGGGTAGTCAGCCGCTGACACAACACCGGATGCAATCAGCTGTCTAATTTCCCACCTCTCCGGTGAAGTTAAGCGCTTTCTGTTTTTCATAGGCTTTCCATTAGAATCCTCGATGACAGGCACTTCCGAGCTCAAGTTGCCATATCGCTCATTCGCTGAAGTCCCGTCAAGACGCTCCATATTGGCGCCAGATGCCAGCCGGCGTTGTGGGATAAGATCAAGCCCAGTCACTTGGTCAACTTCCTTCATCGAAAGTCCAATGCGAGATCCTTGTATACTGGTGACCTTGACTTTGACCGGCTGCCCTCTGGAGACCAGATCTGAAGGGTGATTTACTCGCGCTCCTTCTTGCATCGCAGAGACATGTACCAGGCCATCCACCTTGCCTTTGACGCCCAAGAGATTCACAAAGGCTCCGAAATCCTTCACACCAGTGACACGTCCATCGTAGACCTTGTACAGTATCGGGGCGTCATCCAACTCAACTGGGGGTGGTTGCCGAAAATGGTCGTCTTGGCTCCTGTCATGCCGCTGCCGCCGCCGTTCGCTGTGGCCATCGCGATGTTCATCCCGGCTGGAATACTTGCTTCGCGTACGGCCGAATTCGTCGACGTCGTCATCTCTCTTGCGATGACGGGAACTATATGACCTCGAGCGGGAACGATATTTGTCCTTGCGCCGACGTTCACGATCGTAGTCATCATAACCAGGGCTTCTGCTTCGTTTCCTGCTACTCCGGTCCTCCACCGCTGTGCGACCCTTCTCTTCTCGAGCCTTTCCTGCCAGCCCTTCAAGCATCGCAAATGTATCATCCATTGCATCGGCCTTGGCATCACCTTCGTCCGCATTTTTCCTATCCATGTAGTCGTCTTCAGCCCATTGCGGTGCCTTGTCCGGAACAGCTAGACCTTTGAATACGCGCGCCTTTTTTTCGAGTGCATCAAGTACATCCATATCGTCATCCCCTTCTGCTTTGTCGGCGCCATCCGTCTTCTTCGTCTTGTATTTTGGGTGCATGGTGAGCACTAGACGGTCAATACTCTCCATCAAACTCTGAGGGAACTCCGCGCCCATCTCGTCTAGGGTCTCCTTGAATTTCGAAAACGAACCGCATTTCAGATGCTGATCAATCACGAACTCCGCTAATGTCTTGTCATTAATGCCCAAGTGGTTCTGGAGTTCGCTCGTGATTCGCGAAACGAGCGAAAAGAGCTCCAGAGACTGGAGGTCATCCATGACTGACGGTTCGAAATCGATCGCAAGTCAGTGGACAATCAAAACCAACCAAGTAAATTCTTGAATATGTGAATTATCCGCCGAAGAGTGTGCTACGCACCTCTCTGGTCAGTAGGTTGCGCTTCGCCAGTCTTTGAATGCTTGAATCGGGAAAGCTCACTGTCGCGGAAAATCGTTCTGGCGTATTGCGGACCACTTGCCACTGATAAGATAAGCCAACCTCATGTCCAGTACTACTAGTACAGTATTCACTACTAATCCATTCATATACTTTAATTGAATTTCTATAACACTAGAAAAATTGTCAGATATTCAGGATTGTTTGGCTCACTAAATTGCGGCCAACAAGTCGAACTACTTGGATATTTGGGGAAGTTACTATATGAAGCTAAGTTGGTCATTACAAAAATATATATGAGTCGACTATTTAAAGTGTTTGCTGCAATACTTGGGTACAAACATGGGGTAAAAGATGCGCCAGAATTAGTCCATGTTTGAAAGAGTTGCCTTATGTTGTGGAAACAGAATTAGATTCAAAGCTGGGCCATGTCAGGTAGCAAAAAGTACTGAATAGTATATTTACCTTCAATCGTCCAGACCTAGATCTATATACTGATATAATATACACTTAATTTACATATATATGTTACATTAACCCCAATTCTTACCATCCAAACCAGGGCAGTCTCCGATTATTATTCGGACCCCCAAGGTATTTGAATGTCAAAGTCCAACCGGATAAAATAAAGGATGGCTTGTATCGCTCTCGCTACCATCGCGATGACTAGGACGAAGAGAGTGGAGAAGATGCCGATTTGTTCCAATGAAAACCATGGTAGAGATATACGAAAGGCATTAGATCTTACGCAGCCTGTGCCTCCGGACTGACCCTTTCTAGAGAGTCGTTGTCAGCTGAGAGATCAATTGGAACCGTTTCCTCACTCTCTTCGTCGAGAGCATCAAGATCTGCTTCAGCAAGTAACCGTTTATGGTCCTGGATCTGCTTCTGCAAAGCGATCTGGCGGCGAAGCGATGCGTCCTTTCTCAGCTTCTTATTAGCAGAGAACTCAGTCAGTGCCCTAACCATCCTCTCCTCGACTAGCTCCTTCACGTGGGCGGCAAGAGTTCGGTCTGTGAAGACTCCACCGAATCGAAAACTGAGCCACGAGTACAAGATCACAGACTTGTGCAATATCTCCAAGTCGTGCAAATACTCCTTGTTTCCAGACACAGGCTCTTCTAGAATCTCCAAATTCAAGTCTGGTATGTCTAGCAAGCGACCACCTGTGTGCTCGGCAACACATTGCGCAAATGCACAGGCAACATCGCGCGAAGAGATGTCCCGGGTATGCATGGGCGCAGCCATAAAGGTCATTTGGTCTTCAAATCGCAAGCCGCTCACAGTATCTATAACCTCAGCGTTATCCAACTGACCCCGGGGGTCGCACATGAAGAACAAAGGATGGACTTGAGAAACATCAATAAGACGTTTAATGATATATTCCAGCGGAACGCTCTGAGGGAAGTATGCAGCAAACCTCTGGAAAATAGGCTCCGGAGGGAACACACCAGCCGCAGTGATTGGAGGGGGCTCGATTCCCATGGCCTGGTGAATGTAGGGAAGATCCACCTCTTCCAGGGATGTTACATAACCGACATTTGTCTCATCATTTTCGGCAGGTTTTCTTTTTTTCTGTTGTTGAGCGGCCGACCGGTAACGACCAGCGCGTCCTGCGATCTGTTTGATTTCAGGTACGGAAAGCCTCACAAGACCACCTGGTACCCTCTTCACGAGAGTTTCGAAAATGATACGTTTGCAACTCCTGTAGAAAGGTGGATTAGGATATATGGTATAACAATAGAGTGACAGCAGACTCACAAATTTAGACCCATACCAATAGCATCACTAGCGACTAGATAATCGTATTCGTTATTTGGATCATTGAAAAGACTGGCTTGCTGAGTCCGAATTTCAGCTGGTAAGCTTCCATACACAATTGCCGCTCGTTTCCCTGTGACCTTTTCAATATCTGCTTTAAGCGCGTGAATTCCGACACGAGAAAAGGCAACCAGGCAATCTCCTTTTTGCAGGTTCTTTAAGTCGCCCCTCAGACTTCGGTCCATAACCTTTAGAGGATTCAGTCGCTCATATCGGTGGATTTCGAGCTTATCTCCCGTAAGAGCTGCCAGCTCTCGTATCAGAGGTACAACCCTTGGCTCACCACAGAGATGAAGCTCCTTAGCACGCGCGCCAAGTACAGCACGAGTCCAGGCCCATCCGCGTTTGGAGTCCCCAATCATTTGAATTTCATCAATGACCCCTACATCATACGGTTGCCCTAGATTAACCATTTCAACTGTATTGCTCACAATAGTCGGGGCTTGGCCCTCTGGGATTTTGACGTCATCGCCAGTGACAAGACTGCATGTGGTTCCGTTGGCCTGAAATCGATGGTATACCTCCTGCGCAAGTAGTCTTAGTGGCCCAGCATAGAAGCCACTTTTACTAGCCTCGAGCTTTTTTAGTGCCTGATATGTTTTCCCCGAGTTTGTTGGCCCAACGTGCAGATGTATTGTCCGCTGTATAGATCGCGCTTGTGGATACCACTCTGCTGGAAAACGCATATCTGCCACTTTCTTCTGCTGTTCTAGGTTGGGCGTCGAGTATTTCGAAGTGACATCCTCAGCGTATAGGAGATACTCCAACTCATTCTTTAGGCCTCGAACGCCAGATTGAATGTACTTCCTTTGTAGCGTGGTCTTCACTTGCCGTAGAATGCCGAAGCCACCACTAGTTGCTCGGTCCTCCAACTTGCATGCGTTCATCACATATCGCTCAAATCTCTGCCATCCAACTGATGCCGACTCAGAACTCTGTGTTATTTCTTTCTTGAGCTCCTTCAGCAGGGTCGCCACGATAATTGAGAAGTCGGGTGCGGTGACATTCTGCCTTGAGTTCCTCGTAGCGGAACGGAGGGAGGGTCTAGCTGGAGACTACCCAGGAAGATAAAATATTAATACACAAGTCATCACAAAGGGAGCCAAAGGGGGAAATACGTTGTCAGGCTTCGTCCGTGGGGCCTCTTGTGCCTTCTTTGACTTTTGCAACCGCTTCGACCTCCTAAGTGCTGATGTGGTGGAGAATGTTCGTATCTCCGAACGAAAAAAAGGTCGTATAGCACATGAGAGGCAATGACTGCCTCTACTCGCCCATGACTGCATTCCTTAAGCGAAAAGGCGGGTTTCAAATGGGGAGCACGTTCGAAAGGCACCGAGGACGGTTCGCGAAGAAAAAATTAAGCTGTTGCAGTTTTTATAACGCGGAAAAGCTGCATATAATGGTGCATGGAGCTAGCAGGGGAACCTGCGACCAAACCGTTGCAATGCATTTAACGACAGACGACAGGTTGGGTTGAAAAATTTAAAATATCATTTTGAAAGAGTACCAATGACATCGGCAAATTGAGTGTATCCAACCAAATGAGAGACTATCTTCTAGTTTTAGTATGTAGCCACTGCCGCCTTAGTCATAGTCGCGCCTTGGTCATAGTCCGGCATTGGCACCTACTATCGTTGTTAAAGCAGCAGGGATAATATCCCGATAAGGGAAGGCCGAAAGCGTGCCGGCGCCACACCGCATGAATGCTGCCGATCCGCCGCAATCTATGATGGATTAAATGGTGGGGACACTTGGGAGAGGGTCTCTAGTAACAGATACGTTTCAAAAAGAGAGAACTCACTTCCCTTCCCAACCCCTCCACCCCCTGATTGGACTCTCTTACCTGTCGCCTGCTTCTCCTCATTGCTCTCCCCAAACCAGCCGCTCTTAGGCTGCAGTCTTATTGATCTCAAGTCTGCGACATCAAACTTAACCTACAGCTAGAGGGCTGCCGGCCAGCCAAGATGAACTCCTCCATACTCAATATTCAACGCGAAAGTGAGTCTTTCTATATTTGATACATACAACTAAATCACTCATTTCTTGTACTAACTAAAATGTGCCGCATAGTTATTCTCAATACAATCCGGTATACTGCAGGGAATGAGGTGTGCTGAGACCCCTCCTCTTAGTAGACGCGGAGCTAATGGTGGTGACGTGCAGTGGAAAGTCCTGGTTGTGGATGAGACCAGTCGGAAATTAATAGATAATGCTGTGAGCGAGGATGATATTCTCAATCTCAATGTTACCAGTAAGCCGAGTATTTCGATTGATAACGAACCGCATCGGCTAATGATTCTTCTTGCAAGATGTCGAGCAGATCGAGGAAAAGCGGAAATCCAACCCTATGGATGCGCTGTATATCCTATCGCCCCAGTCACATATTGTCGATTGCCTAATGGCCGACTTTGAGCGAAAGCGATACAAAAAGGCCTGGTTGGTTTGGACGTCATGTCGGTCACAACCCCTTTTCTATGCCCGCAAGTTGAGTCCTAACCTCGCCTATAGACCTTGACCCCCAACAGCGCACTAGACTCGAGCGATCCCAAATGGCCCAAGAACAAATCGCTAGCTTCCGCGTTATGAGTGCCGACTACTTTCCGAGGGAATCGCGTCTTGTCACGTTTCGAGATCCGTGGAGTTTCCCCGTGTTGTTTCACCCCGGCTGCAACCACTTGATTCGCGGACACTTGGAAGGACTGGCACAGAAGGTGCGATATTTTTTTCTTTATGCTTTTTGGTGTGGTTGTCATTCGAGTCGACCACTGACCGGGAATCCAGATTGTATCTCTTTGTGCGAGCTTAGGAGAGTACCCCGTGATTCGATACTACAAGCCTAGAGCGCCAACCCACGAAGCTAGTGTTATGTGCTCGCACCTTGCCCGATTTGTACAAAATGAGCTAGATCAGTTTGCCCACTTTCAAAAGGACTTCCCGCCCCCTTCCCAGAGACCTCGAGGCGTTCTTTTGGTGGTCGATCGCTCTATGGACGTTGCTGCTCCGCTTATCCACGAATTTACGTACCAATCTATGGTGCATGACTTACTACCGATAAAAGATGGGGACAAGGTCACTTACAAAACAATTATAAACGAAGGTAGCCATAATGAAGAACTTAAGGAGATGGAGATCTCCGAAAATGATAATGTCTGGGTTGACTACAGACATCTTCATATGAAGGATGTCCTTGGAAAGTTGGGCGAAGACTTTGCCAAATTCAGGGCAGCCAACCCTCAATTCGCTGAAGAGTGAGTCCTCGTCCTGAGATCTCTTAGTCGTGGATCTCCTTTGCTAATCTTCTCATAGAAATGACAAAGCCAACGTGAACACAATCAAAGATATGTTAGCTGGTCTCACAGAGTTCCAACAGGGTAGAGATGCCTATACACTCCACCTTAACATGGCACAAGAATGCATGAAACACTTCCAGGAGCACAAGCTATTGGAGGTAAGCTCCGTTGAACAGTGCTTGTCGACTGGCCTGGACGAGAACTACAAAAAGGCGAAGAACTTGGCCTCACAGCTCGTTCAGCTACTTGATGATGATGCAGTGGATCATCAGGATAGACTTCGGCTTCTACTTCTCTACATCATGTACAGAGGTGGAATTCTTCCCGGAGATATCAGGAAGCTTATGGCGCACGCTCAACTCCCACCGCAAGATGGTGATGTTATCTCCAACCTGGATTTACTTGGTTCCAGAGTAGAGAAGCAGTTGAAAGACGAGAAGCCACCTGTTCAGCCACTGTTCCACAGAAAACCTCCATTGCCCGCAGAATCCGATGAAACTAGTTTGTCGAGATATGAACTGAACTTGAAGTTGATGCTCGAGGAGTTGGTTCGAGGAACTTTGGACCCGGCAGTCTTTCCTCCCACTCGACCAAACACCGAGGTAGAGGGAATAGGAGGGCCCCAGGATACTCTCTCACAAGCCTCTCTGCGGAGCGCCAAGCCGACTTGGGCTCGGACCCGTTCAGCCACAGAGCAGCCCCGACAACGCATCATCGTCTTCATGGCTGGTGGTGCAACGTATGGCGAAGCTCGTTCCTGCTACGAGGTCTCTCAGGCGTTCAACAAGGATGTTTTCCTTGCGACGTCGCATATGTTGAGTCCTGGTTTGTTCTTGAAGCAGCTTGCGGACCTCAGTGCCGACAGAAGACGCTTAGACATCCCAGCCGAACGGCCAAAGCCAACGGCACCGGCCCATTTGTTTGAAAGGGACCCTCCACCTCAGCCTCAACCAGTGCCTAAGAAGGCTCCAGCACCGAAGCTCAACCCTCCGGCACCTCCTTCGGCGGCCATGGGGGCCATGTCCCTGGGGTCTAATTCTCAGAATGGTGCAGCACCTGCACCTAGCAACGCAAAGCCACATAAGGAGAAGAAGGAAAAGAAGCATCACTTCTTCAGGCGATCATAGTGCCTTCAGTTTCTCTCAGAATTACTTCAAGGATAATAACACTCCTTGAATACCGACGGCTATAGCCGTTTGAAGTCTATACCTATGTCTTTCTACTACAGCGTCTGTGATACCAATCTCTCGGGTTTTATTTGAGCACCGAAGGCGCCACGGCGCTAAATGGATATCTTCTTGTATCCTGTTCTATCTTCTTTTTGATATAATCTTCTGTCCCTGTGTGTAGGTAATGCATGTACCCTATGAAGCATACTCTCCAATGTTTAAACCCCACACATCTATGTAAAGAAAAGAGATAAAATAAAAGGGTATCTTTGAATCACGCCAAACGCCAAACCCATCCTAAACGCTACTGCCCAAGATACTTCAAAACGTCATCACTTTGGAAAAATTGTTCTCGCAACTTCTCCCCCCTCTTCCTGGCATCTAGGTATTCCTTTCTTACCTCCTTTGCGTTCAATTTTTGCACCTTAGTCGGCCTCTCAACCACTCGACCCTTACCCTTACCACCCTCCTTCGCCTCGTCATCACCCTCAGCCCCCAAACCAACAGTATCAACCTTCAAGCGCCCCTTCAACGGCTCCCGAATCCCCTCTCGCCCAGAAACCCCCAACCCCAACCGGCTATCTGGATCCCACCCATAAGCAGCCAAATACCTCAACCCACGCCTTGTCCGATCCAAATGCGATGGCGGATGCGAATGCGATAAGCACACTTGATGCGCCAGCGACGCCTCATGCAGCCGGTCACTCGCCATCACAGCCCCATGTCCCGACTCATCTCCGTCAATCGGAAGATTACACACGTCGCAGCGAGGAGCGGCAGAAGGCGAAGCCGGAGCCGACTGCACCTCTGCATCACCATTTCCAACGTCCCCAGTTACATGCTCAACGGGTGTACCAGGTTCCGAAACCTGTTTATCTTTCGGCATAACAATCGCCAGATACTTATTCGCTATACTGGTTCCCGAGGAGGCAGGTTGCGCTGCCGACGTAGAGGTAGTATTAAGCTCATGTTCCGAAGACCGCACGAACTGGACTTTCTTGCGACGGATTCCGGCATCGAAGGGTCGTTGGCTTTCTACCGGAAGGAAGTAATCTTCGTCGGTGGCTTCGTTGGAGGTCATGTCTTGTTTAGGGGGAGGTTAATGTCTTGAATTCCATGACTTAATTGTTGCGAGCGTTATTCTAATTTATCGACGCACTAGCTAGGTGGGTCCATACCGCTGACGAAGCAGATGGCGGTAGACTGGGCGGTGAGCTTATATGTGGTCTGGGCCCTCCGGTTGATCCTATGTTTAGTAGCAGCTTTCTGTCCATAATTGGATTGTTCCTTTCCACTTGTCGGTACCTGCCCTTGTTTGTTTGGATGCGGATTTGACCATTGCACAATGCCTATTCCCCTGATTGCTCAGGGCTTCCAGGAGGGCATCTCCTCTATTCCTTATGCGTGGACGGTTTTGAAGATCGTGCCATGGGTGCTGTTGGTTGCTGCTTTGAAGTATTATTTCGGGGGTGCCCGAAATGGATCGGAGCGGTTGATGCACTCTAAGGTTGTGATGGTTACGGTATGCTCTATCTGTTTTGGCTGGCTTCTGTTGGAGTAGAGTTGAAAAATCTAATACGGCTTTCTATAGGGTGGAACATCAGGGATAGGAGCCAGCGTCGTCTACGAACTTGCCTCGCGCGGTGCCCAGATCATCCTCCTCACACAGCATGCTCCCTCAGACGTCTTCCTGGTTGATTACATCGAGGATCTCCGAAAATCAACGAAGAATCAACTCATCTACGCTGAACAGGTGGATTTGTCCTCCCTACACTCAATCCGCACGTTCGCGACGAAATGGATCGATAATGTCCCCCCACGCCGACTGGACATGATCATCCTGTGTGGAAACACGGCGGCACCTTCATCCGCCAGCCGAAAACTGACCGTAGATGCAATCGACGAAGAATGGCAGGTCAACTACCTCGCCAATTTCCACCTGTTGAGCATCCTCAGTCCGGCGCTGCGGGCCCAGCCACCCCACCGTGACGTGCGGGTGATTTTCACGACATGTTCGAGCTACATTGGTGCCAAAATCGACCCTAAGCAGATAGAGGCAGCTTGTACACCCGACACCAAAGAGCCACGGGGAACGAAAAATGGCAAGAATGTAAAAAAGGCAGGGTCTGGGTCGAAGAAATCCAAACCCAGCCTTTTCGGAGCGAGCAAGCTTGCGTTGATGTCTTTCGCCCAGTCCTTTCAGAAACATTTGAATGCTTATGAGCGTCCCGATAAGATGCCCCCGTGTACGCGTGTAATTGTTGTTGACCCTGGCTTTAGCCGCACTCCGGGTACCCGTCGCTGGTTGACGGGTGGGTCGCTTTGGGGACTGCTTCTTTATCTCATCACCTGGCCTCTATGGTGGTTGGTCCTGAAGTCACCGCAGCAGGGTGCCCAGAGTATTCTTTATGCTGCCATGGAGGCCAGATACGGCCGTGGCACCGGTGGCTGGATGGTCAAAGAGTGTCAGGAGGTGGATTTCGCTCGCAAAGATATCAAGGATGAAGAGGCTGGGAAACTGCTGTGGCAATTCAGCGAAGCACAAATTGAGCTCAAGGAGAAGGAAAGTGCCGTGAGAAGGGCACTGGCCAACAAGGAGCAGCAGGAGAAGGAAAACCAGAAAAACAATGGTTCTTCCAGTTCTAAGCCTGCAGCGAAAGAGCCGACCCCAGGGTCGCGAAGGAGCCGGAAAGCTAACAAATAGACTGTACACTAAAATTAGGCGAAAGAAGAGAATTGATAGTTTCAACAAGCAATGCGATCTGTAATTTTCCATGTCGTCTATATCTATGACTATACTTGTGATGCGTTTTTGAAACCACAGGAGCACATAATAGCAAATTATTCACTTGAGCAATAATATATGTAGCTCAACAAAAGAAACAAGAAAAGAAATTCGTGTCATCCAATCTACAGGGCTTGTGTCTATTGAGGGGCGATTTTGATGATCCATCCACCTTCGCATCATAGATCCTAGCATCCACCGGTAGATCATTTCCTTAGATTAAAATAATTCATTTCTTCAGCTGTTCCAGCAGCTCAGCAGGGGGCTCCTGGCGGTAGCCCTGAGGGTTGTTCTTGGTCCAGCGCCAGAGGTCCTCGCAAGCCTGCTCGAGAGTGCGCTCAGCCTTCCAGCCAAGTTCAGCGTTGGCGCGGGTGGGGTTAGCGGTGAGGTTAAGGACGTCACCAGCACGACGAGGAGCAACCTCGTAGGGGAGATCGCGACCAACGGCGGTGGAGAAGGCACGGATCATCTCGTAGACAGTGCTGCCCCTGCCGGTACCCAAGTTCCAGGCACGGACACCGGGGTTGTTCGAGCGCAGGAAGTTGAGAGCCTTCAGGTGACCATCAGCGAGGTCGAGGATGTGAATGTAGTCACGGATGGCAGTGCCATCGTGAGACTTATAGTCTAATAACGCACAAGTCAGTCATGATAATTTTCTTCTGGATCTGAAGGGAAGTGGAGACACTTACCGTCACCGAAGACGAGGAGCTTCTCGCGCTTGCCAGTAGCAACCTGGGCAAGAAGAGGAAGCAGGTTGTAAGGCACACCCTGAGGATCTTCACCCATGATGCCACTGGGGTGAGCACCAGCGGGGTTGAAGTAGCGCAGCAGAGCACCGTTCCACTTCTGGCTCTCTTCCTGGTTTCCGGCCTTGGCGGCATTGTTACGCTGAGCGTTGATGACATCGATGATAGCGTTCTCGACGGCGAATTTGGTGTTACCGTAGGGGTTGGTGGGGCCCAGAGGGCACTCCTCGGGGATGGGGATCATGTTGGGGAAGCGGGTGGCATCACCATAGACGGTGGCCGAGCTGGAGAAGACAATGTTGTAGACATTGTGGCGGACCATGGAACGCAGGAGGTTGAGAGTTCCGTAAACGTTGACATGGTAGTAGTCCAGAGGCTTCTCACCAGACTCGCCGACGGCCTAAGTTCCAAAGCGCAGGTGTAAGTAAGCGGAGCAAATATGTGAAATTGGACAAGCAGACCTTCAGGGCAGCGAAGTGAATGACGCTGTCAATGTCGGGGTGAGCCTCGAAAACCTTGTCGAAAGCAGCCTCGTCGGTGACATCGACCTGAGCGAACTCAGCCTTCTTGCCGGAGATCAACTCAATGCGACGAAGAGCCTCGGCGGAGGAGTTGTAGAGGTTGTCAGCGACGACGACCTTGTAGCCTGCCTCAAGGAGAGCAAGGGCGGTGAAAGAGCCAATGTAGCCCGTTCCACTGTATGATTGCGCCGTCAGTGCATTGAGCCTATGGTGGGGTATACTATCCCCATCAAGGTGCCATAGCTTACCCAGTGACAAGAACCGAACCGGAAGGCATGATGACAGATGCGATGGAAGACAAGAGTAGAAGGAGGTAAGAAGAGTGATTAGAGTGGAAAGATGGTCTGGAGAGGAAAAGAAAAAGAAAGAAACACAAACACGACGAGCGCTGGCAGCCACGGGATATTTAAGGGGCACCGCAATTGGGATTGGTGGGGGAGAGGACAATTGCGGAGGGGCATGCGTTCGGGTGGATTTCATTTCATACCTGGCGCTTCCCTTTCAACCTTCTCCGGAGGACGCATCAGGTTCACCCTCTGTAAGGTACCGCAATATGTAATTTTGGTCTGACTCTCTCTCCCCTATTTTGTATGGACTCTTCACCTCTAGAGACAGTATCAGTTGTGTTTTAGGGAGTGTTCAATGGGTGAAATTTTTCTCTTTTCTGAAATTGTTTCATCTAATGAGAACCCCCCTATTGATCATCTTTAATTTGCTTTCCTGGACGATCTGCGGTCGAGTCCCAAGCACCACGTAATTCATCTTCAAGCTCTAACAACCTTCCTGGGTGACGATCGACCCTTCAATTTTACAGGTGGTATGGCTTGCGTACCGTTTATTTTCCACACGTGCATGCAGCCCATCTATCCGCCTAGTAGTATTCATCCCACCATCCACTGACTGGCAGGCCCCATGGCCTTAATTATACGTGCGTATACGCAAAATAGGTTTAGTCGCAGAGTCTATACTTCGAACGAACTCCGGTAAGCCGTGAGACCGTCCATACGTCAATCGAACCCTAAGGGAAAGCTGAGAGTCACCCCATATCACCCCATGTGGTGTTCACTCGGCATCATTCGATCGGGCACGGCAACGCAGACTAGGGGCCTTCCCCGGTTAAGAACGGGCCATTCGGCAAGGCTATCGGTTTGCCTTGTCGGATAATATCTGGCACCTGGGCTCTGGAGTTCTTAGAAGATGGAACGAGCGAATCCGAAGGAAACCCATCGGCCAAATGTCTCTGGCCCTCGCCTCTCTTTTATCCAGTGGTCCAGCGCCGAGCGGGTCAAGTTCCACTCTGTCGGTGGACTAAACTGGCCCCTACGAAGTGATCCAAGGGTCCAACCGGTTAATATCAGTCAATTATAAGGAATTCGAGGTTCGCGCCGAGTGTTGCCCGGTCTATTCATCCCGGACCTTGCCTAGAAATTGTTGTCAATATGAGAGAGGGTGAGACATTTTCAAATCCTGTCAGTTCCGGTCCGGTTCAGCAACGGCATGAAGCTATTCATCACTACTTACCAATGCCATCGTCCTCTATATAGATAGATTTATAGATACTCTATATCCTCAAATCACTCCAAAACGCTACGCACTTAGACCGCACAGTTTTCAGGACATCATTTTTAGAACACATTCACCATCCCACATCTCATAATATCATAGATGCTAGGTACTACCCAAGTGACTTCTTCGGCTTTCTGACGATGGCACCGCTTCTTGAGGTTTTGCTTTCGAACTTTTACTCTTTTGTCTGCTGACTTGGGTCGGAATGAGAAAGAAATGTACATTCAAAGAATAAAAACAAAAATGGATATCCGGCATCGCCGCGATAGACTGTAGAGAGAATTTCATCTAAGAACATACTGTCGAATGCCCTTTCGCTCACAATTACTAGTGTCATCAAACTGCCATTGATTTGGCCGTAATCCTTTCCCGTCCTTCATTTAACCAAATGGTGTCATGGTCCATTGGTCTTTTCAGCCCAGGGGTAAATCTTCCGTCGCCCGGTCATTCACTCCTCCCATCCGAGTCCACAAGCTACGAATGGAAAACCCGTGGTAGGAACTCACGTCTGGGTTGACAGAGTCCCACCCAGGCTGGTTCAAGCACCGATTGATGACTTTGAACGATTTGCCTTCTTTCGCATCGAGTTGTGTCTCTGATGTGCCCTCGAAGCACTAGCGCTCCATTGTTGATAGGTATGTAGGGCCATGTTCCCTCTAGCCGAGAAGTTCGACGTCGAGGCCAATAGCACGCATGAAGAGGTTGACATTTCCAAGTCGTTGGCTAGACATGTCCGCAGGAAGAGTCTTGCTATATGCCACCGTTTCCATGACACGATCCCTATAGTGCTGTTAGCATTGCTCCCTGGAAGATTCTATACACGCAAGTAGGGCAGAACCCATTGGGTAGGATTCGACAAGAGTTGACTTACTTCACTGCGATGACCAAACGCTGCTGTTGCTCGGGGCTGGCTCCAATACCGACTGCAGCCAAGAATTGCCACACATACATATCATCGCCTGCATTGATAGAGCCAGGGAAGATGTCTCCAAAAGTAGGTTCAAGGGTATCAAACAAGACGTTGAACTTTTCCACCCACTGTTGCCAGTCCCGTTCGGCGGCCTGCCCGGCTTCCTTCACGATCTCTGCACGGCTGAGAAGCATAGTCAAGATACCCAGCCCAATACGAGTCTTGGCGACCATGTGTACATGAGTTTGCGCGATGACCAGGCCCAAGAGACCAATAATGATGTTGAACGGGGCTTCGTTAACGTAACCCAGAAGACTAGGCATGACTGCTTGCGAGAAGAGATCGATGGCTTCTCTCACGGCTAGAGAAGGCTGTGATTCACCAGGCGCCGGCTGTCCCTGCCGAACCACGTCCAAGCTATCCAGATGCACAACAATCATCGTAAGGATGGTAACTCGCTGTTCCTGATCAATATGACGGAATATGCGTGGAATGGCCTTTTTGCCTTTAGGGTAGGAAAGGAACGCAATGAAAGGGTGTGGGGTGTTTGTGTTGGGAACAATGGGCTCCATAACCTTGAGCGCCTGCCACAACTTCTGATTGAGAGAGCGAACCTTTTGTCGCCATTCCATGTGTTCTTGAATTGCCTCGGCATCGTCTTCATTCGGTGGTGGAGGCATTGTGCGTTCCATATCCTCTAACTCCATCAATGTGCCATATACGTTCTCGATATTGGTCAAGATAGATTTCCGATCACTCAGACTGAGGTCGGTGTGTGGCTTCTTAGCCGCCTTGGCTCCCTCAGAAGTTTCAGGGCGCTTGATATTGAGCATTGGTTTAGGCGTCTTCGCATTACTAAAAGAGATCTTGCCCAAGCTTCCTTCGATAATAAGTTGCTTGTTCTTCGGTTTGGCCTTGGCGGCTTCAACTGCGCGTTGGACCTGCTGCTGCATTCTCTGCATATGGTTATCTGCACTCTGTGCCTGACGTCGGGATCCATGACCCCCAAGCCGATTGCCTGTCTGGAGGAGGTATGTTTGCGCAAAATGACCAAGTGGCTGATGCGGGTGCTGTCTGGGTGCGCCTCGGATCTGGCTGTAGACTTGATAATAAAAGTCCTCGGCCAAGACTGCTTCCGAATCCGCGTCTGCGACGTTACCCGCAGCTGCTACTAGT